TCTCGATGCCGTGCCCGCGGAAGCTTCGGCTTCTAGTAGGGTTACCTTTGCTGGAGAGATTCGACGGGAGAGCCCAGATTAAGTGTGACCAGCAGGAACCTGCAACAAGTCTTTGAACTACCGATATTAGAGAATAGAATGAAAAAATCAAAGAAGTCATATACAGCAACGATTCTGACGCATGATAAACTGGATCCCGACACAGATTCAGTCGCAAGAACTGTGCCGTTAAGTCTACTATAGCGTTCCACGGAGTCGCCAAAGATCGACAAGCCATGAAGGTGGTTGGTCAGTAACAAGTGTAATGAGCTGTGACGCCACACCAATAATGGCTACTGCAATGAGGGAAAAAACAATCATTGAAAACAAAGCTGAATTTCTTGCGGAAGAAAGTTTGGGAAGTCTTGATTTACGCACCTATGGACTCTCCCCCTCCCCCACCCATTAATCAACAAAAGCTGCTAGCTGAAATGGAGCAAAGAATTAACGCCAAGAACATTTCTAAGAGATACAAAGTACAAAAGTGAAAGACTGGTAACTGGTTACCGTCAAAGAATGCATTGCATTTGGAAGGAAATATGACTCGTAACAGCATTAACACAACGGAGATTGGCCGGCCAAGTTAGAGTGATCTTCAACCGTACGTTCATTTCAAAACGTGAGATGATGGACAACAGAAGCGAATTTTCATGGGCAATGAAGCAAGAAACTCTCAACACTGGTCATGAGTCGATACTGCAATGGAAGAAACCGGCCTGTCTGAGACGAAAGAACACTGAAGACTAGAAATAGAAACATCAGCAAGGAATGAAGAAGCTTTAGACATGGGCGAGATTATCCGAAAAGTAACAATGACTAGAGATATGGACGATGAGCTAATGAGAAAGTTTTCGGAAGCACAATTTCTGCCGTGAGAATAAATGTGGCAGCGACGTTGCTCTGAAAAGGTCAGCAGGTCCTGAAAATGCAGATAATAGTAGGTAGATGAATAGCGTTGAAAATGAAGATAAGGTGCTAGTAAAAACTTGTCAGAAACGAGTCACGTTGTCGATGCAGCTTCATTGTAATTGTGTCATTTGTATCATTCTGTGCTTGAACATTAGATCAACAAAGAAGACGCAACCAGGTTAAACCTTAGTCCAAACGAAGACGCAACCAGGTCAAACTGAAATGCAGCCAACTCCGCTACAGACCAGGCGGATATAAGATAAAATAAAACAACTGTGTGCAGAGATTCGGATCTTAACCACCTACTGAAAAAATTCCAAAGTAGAAAGGTAATGTCAAAGTTGAAAAGGTATGGTAAATACTTGGGACTGTGTGAATGTTCAGGAAGGACCTCCTGTCGTGCGTGACTAAACGTACTGAATTTCTCAAAGAGAAAATCACCGTATATGGTGCAGAACCAACTGATATAATGAGGCAGTCAAAACGAATGACTTATTCAGAAAAAACTTGCAAGAAATTCCTTGTCTCATTAGATCAGTACGAGCAGTTGAATCGAAAACACCAAACTGAGAAACGATGCACAGACAAAGGAGTAAAATCTTACAACATCCACAATCTATATGAACATGACGCAACAGCGAATTGGCTGCTGGAACAAGTGATTTCTAAGCGAAATATCACAATAAAGCAATCCAGCGTGATAATACTATAAAATATTTTGGATGTTGCATAAAGATGCTCAACTGGAAAGCACCGGGGCCATATGGCATCCAAAAATTACTGCTGGAAATGCTTCAAGTGCATTCATATTGTCTGGTATTACCCATCTCAAGAAATCTCCAGTTTCGTATCTAGGTAACTAACTGAAGAAGCAACGTAAATGTTACCTACAGACATCGATGCAACAAAACGTACAACTTTTGGCGAATAATATGCTTGCCGACCAACTATGAGCTACAAGCTCTGGAAGATCTTTGTCGGGGATGAAGACCGGGTCGCATCTTCTTGCGAATACCACCTTATCCGGAAAGCAAAATCGCTGCAGGCAAAGAAGCAAAGGTTGCAAAAGCTATTTACAATTTACTAAGTTGCTATCAACCAAGATCGCATGCAACACGCAACATTTCACTTCGGCTGGTGGATCATAAGACATCCTTTGACT